ATATATATATATATATATATATATATATATAACCCATTAGAATTTTTTGGAAATTTATTTTAAGAAAATTAAAATCCTCAAAAAATGACAAGTGGAAAAAAACAATTTTAAAAATCCTAGAAAATGACATGTGTCAAAATGAATGAGAAAAATAATAAATGGCAAAAGTTTTTTTATTTATTAGGGAGGATTAGAATTTTTTGGAAATTTATTTTAAGAAAATTGAATTCCCCAAAAAATGACAAGTGGAAAATAACAATTTTAAAAATCCTAAAAAATGACATGTGTCAAAACGAATGAGAAAATGACAAGTGGTAAAAGTATTTTCATTTATTAGGGAGAATTTTAGAATTACATACATGTCCTTCTAAAACTATAAAATTTACGTATATATCCAAATTCATATTTTTATTAGAATTAAACTAATTAAATACCAAAAAAGTTATCAAATTTCGAATTTACATATAATGTACCTAAAATACCCTTTCCAAATAAAAGTTAAAATCAATCCAGTTGATTAGGATATCTCGAATTTAAATCAGTATGGGACCTTCTTCTTTTTTTCTTATCGAAACGTGATATTCTTCGTTTTTTCTGATCGAAGTATTCTCAAAGTCGACTAACTAGGTATCAATCATCTTCTTTATCACACGGTTCTTCATTCAATTCTTTTTGTTCTACATTCTATTAGTTATGGTTCTGCATTAGATTAATTTCTCTTCTCCCATTCTTATTATTGCAACAGGTAATCTGATCTGTATTCGATTAATTTTGATGGATGATGATGTTGATACACCGAGATAGGAGATAAATGTTCACTCCCCGATAATTGAGTAAGTTTTTAACACCAAGATGTCAGATACTTTATTTGCCATTCAATTTAATTAACTGTTTCATCCATCACAAAGTGATATTGTTTTGACAATAATCTTTGTTGACAAGCATGCAAAAGAGCAACGTTCTATTGAACTTGATTCAGATGAGAACTTCATGGTGATTCTTAGCATGTATAAGGAGGACAAAGACGTAGATGTCTACGTTGTGGTATGTATGGACATCATGAAAGGACTTGCAAAAATCCCGCACATCAAGGTTCTCACCAGCAAGAGGAAATAATACTAAAGATCATTAATTTTTGTTAAGAGTTTGATTAGATTTTACTACTTTATTGTTTGATGTATGAATTGTTTAATACTTTAATTTTTCGGATTAGAAGGAAGCCAAGGAACTAATATTTATTTTGGACGATTACTGTAATTGTTTTCTGCATAGGCACCATTGTTGTACTTTTTTTGGATCATTTTTGAAAACATTTTCTTCCTGAGGGACCATCTATGTATTTATTTTTGGACCATATATGTATTCTTTTTCTGTCAGAGGGACCATTTCTGTAATTATTGTTGGACCATTTATGTAATCTTTTTCTACCAAAGGGACTATTTTTGTACTTAGTTTTGGACCATTTATGTATTTATTTTTGACATAGGGACCATTCATGTAATTATCGTTGGACCGATTCTGTAATTTTATTTTTTTCTACCAAAGGGACTATTTCTGTAATTATTTTTGGACCAATTCTATAATCTTTTCTACTAAAGGGACTATTTCTATAATTATTTTTGGACCAATTCTATAATCTTTTTCTATGAAAGGGACTATTTTTGTAATTATTTTTGGACCATTTCTGTATTTATTTTTAGACACAGGAACCATTCATGTAATTATTGTTGGACCATTTCTGTAATTATGTTCTGCCAAAGGGACCATTTCTCTAATTATTTTTAGACAATGTATGTATTTATTTTTAGACCTAGGGACCATTCATGTAACTATTTTGGACCATTTGTGTCATGATTAGCCCACAGTTGCAGCAATCAAACAAAAAAATGGGAAGCAGTTCGCATTTGCTTAATTCTAATCTTCAATGGGAACTCAAGAGTCACTCCGTTGACTTTCTATTTTGCATTAGGCTATCCGGAGTGAGTGTGAACCCAAGTGTGATTTTCCTATGTGGCATACATGTGACACACTAACCCACCGGTGAACACTGCCCTATGGACCGGTGGTTTGGTTGTTGAGTGATTTCTAGTTGTGACGAGCCATCTGCCCTCTGATTGGTCCATTCATTTCCCTTACATTTTTCTCATTCTCTGTTCTCTTTTTTGCCCCTTCACTATCAACCCACCGGTAAACACAATTTTCACAATCTAATGGGTTGGTTGTGAAATGGTAAAATACCTACGTGGCGCTGAGTTGGCCGGTGGTTTGGCTGTGACCACTCCCCACAGCCTAAGAAGGGAGTACTCTCTTCCAACCCACTGCCACACAATTTCTTTTTTCTATTTTTTCTAACCACAATATATGGTAACTTTATTTTTTTCAACCAGCTCAACCCACTAACAACATAATTATTGTTTATTTAATTAAATTAAAAAAATATAAAATAAAATAAAACCTAAATTTTTTTCTTTAAAAATAATATTTTGTTGATTTAAAAGAAAAAACAAATGATAAAAATAATATTTAATTAAAACAAATATTATTTAATGAATTATAAAATAAAATATAAATTATTAAAATATGCACTATTATTACAAAAATAAGATAGAAAATAAATAGGTGTGTTTTAATAAAATCTATAAACTCAAGGGATTAAAATGAAATTTACACTAACTAATTTATATAACCTTTTGAAACGTGGTAAACCTAAACCTAAAATAACTTTTCATCCTTTCGCCGCCTCTATCCAGGGGCGTAGCTACACTATGTGAAGGTGGGTCCTAGGACTTACCTTTTTTCCTCTTTAATACAACAATTCTATATAAAAAAAACATAAGGAACTACCTTATTTTTGCCAAAAGACCTACATTTTAATACTTTTTTTCATTTCATTTATATAAGGAACCACGTTGATTTTGGTTCTACATTCGCCACTGCCTCTATCACTATTAGGCCATGCGGTATGGATTGGGTCAACCTACGTGTAGTGCCTACGTGGCATAGTAGGCTACGCGTGAACACCACCCCAAAGATGGGTGGGTGTCTTGTGGCGTGGTACCCACTACGGAAGAAGACGATGGTTGTGATTGGTGGAGAATCTCTTTGTGTCTATCTCTCTCTACAATCTCTCTCTCTTCTTCACCACCACTTCACTAGTGAACACCATTTCCACAACCTAATGGGTTGGTTGTGGAATGGTTAAAATAAGACGTGGCCTTTTTTTCTTCCCTTCTCACGCGTGAGGATACCTCTTAGCCTTAGCTCCAACTTCCATTTTTCTTTTAACTCCATTAAAGCAAGTATCATATTCTCATATGGAGGATTCTTCACATGCAATGATTGTAATCAGTAAAGATTTGAGGTTTTTTTATGTACATATGTGTGTAAAAAAGAGGAGAGAGACGGGTTCACCAACCCATCGGATGTGATTAATCACTCTAACCCGTTGGAACTGACGATGAAGGAGTCCTTACCCGGCGGTACCCCCCAATCCATGACGGAACCCGCAATCGACTCCCTCCTCCCTTATGAAAGACATTGACTCTCACATGGATCTTTACTGATTTTTGTAAGGAATTTGGAGAGTGCATATTTATATTAAAATAAAGGGAAAATAAAATAAAGTTAATACTTGTCATGTTGTTAGTTCAATCCAAAAAAAACTGACTTAATGAACAATGTTTTTGCAATTAAACCATTGACCAATGTATACTACTTGACTAAGACAAAAACACTAAGCAATAGCTTCCTACTTTTATCCTATAAAATATAAATAGTTTCAAAATTATCAAAAAAAACAATGGATTATAGATCAATATCAACATTTAAAAATCCTAAACTTGTACTATGACTATCATCACATCTTCATAATCTGCAACTACACACATCCATATGGAATCAAATACTTATACTACTTGGGAGGTAACAAATGAGTCAAAAGCTTCATGAACTTGAGCTTGAACTCAATATCCCCA